AGACTTAAAATTGGGACTATAGAGTTTATCAGCTGAAATCCTTTACCAGATCCTAGTAAAAAGCTGAAATAATGGTAAGAAAAATATAGGGAACTAAGTGGAAATTCTGTGATAAAAATAGAAATTTTAATTGTGGATATTTTACTACATTTTTTACACTCAACCTGGGCACCCCCCCCCAAAAAAAAAAAAAAAAAAAAAAAAATTCACGTCCCAGATAAAAAAAATACTACTACCTAACTACGTACTTATTTTTATTGATGAACACTTTATATATCATGTGTAAATCAATACAAATTCCAGTCTAAAAGATGTCATCCCTACCACAGGTGTTACTAGAAAACATATTTTAATTAATTGTCCCTAGTCCACTTCTCGACAGTAATGAAGACGGTAATTTGTCTCTATAGACTTCGAGTTGGTTGTCTTCCCAATGCCTTCAGCTGTATAATAAAGTTACTAACCACCTAATTCTTCTTCTTCATCATCTTCAAAATTGTCGGTCAAATTTTTTTCAAAAAGAAACCTGCTCCATATTGTTGGAAATTGGGGCCTAATATCTTCCACAGCAATATGTTTTTTTTCTACTTTTTCATTTAGCCACTGTAGAAAACTTTTCCCCATTTCCTGAAAGTAATGATAATTATTTATTAGTGTTATAAATCCCTTATTTTTCAACCTAATTTTTCAAATAATTAATTTCTTAAGAGAGTCTTTTTATGAAAACAAAGTAGGTAGGTGCTTTACCCATCATACTCACCTTACATCTTTGTAAAATATAAATCGAGAACTTGAGCCATTTCTGAATTTCATTTAGTCGTAATTGAGTTAAGTGAATATTATTCTCTAAACTCCAATTTTGCTTGTTTTTTTTCTTGGATAAAAAACAATAAACTGCTTTTTCCCTCAAGGCTCTAAGTATTACATACCATCTTGTTTTTACTTTTATCATTCCAATTGTTTCTTCATTCTCATTTAAAAAATAAAAAACTTCACCTTCTTTGTAAAGATCACTTCGCACCTGTAAAAATAATTTAATAATATAGTTTCATAAAAGAAATTGTATTGAAAAATGTGACAATATAAATTGACACTTCCTTGTACAATAGACTTTTTGTTTGCCTACCTTATTCTGGTGTTTCACTACATCTTTAGCTTCAATTATTGAATAGGCAGGAGATATAAAGCCTAATGCCGTAAACAGGTTGAGTGTGTAGTGTGGAGGTAATGCAAGAAGGCTAGTCTCTTCATATTCGTTGTACAATGGAGTAAAACAGATAACGTTGAGTTGATGCTTATCCAAGTGACTGAGGTTAACAATATGTTGGTTGTCAGGTTGAAGAAGCTCACACACAGCTGTACATTTAGTATAGTGTAAGATACTATATACCAAATGTCGATTCATAATATCCATATTATTCAATGTATCCCACAGTGATCTGGCCACAACTTTAGCAACAACATAACGTTCTCCATCATACCGCTCAATGTCTTCCCTTTCTCCAATTAACATATGAACACTTTTACTCCCAGTAATTAAAAAAAATTTACCATTAATGTATCTGCCACTGAAATGAGCTGATTCACCATTCACTTTAGTCATACAAACTACTTTAGAAGTAGTAGTACTGAGATCTTCTAAGCAATATTGTTTCCATAGATCATTTGTTTCCGGTTGTTTATCATCCTCATCACCAATACCACCAGTAAATTTTTTATTGGCAAAGATCACTAAATCAAACTGTCCCTTAAACTCCAAGAGTGTTACACCACGAGGAACATTTTTTCGAACTTCAGGATCATTGTTGTAGATTGTGTCATCAGGGCCATAGCAGTTGACCTTTATATCATGAAGAATAGCAGGGTCGTCTTCAGGGGATAGGATTCCATGTGGGACATTTGCACTTATTCTTTTTATCTTCTTTTTTTCTTTCAATGTTTTTAAAAGATTTTCATACCTACAAACAAAATAAAAAAAAAAATAAGAAGTAATAATTTATTGGGGTATGGATATTATAAAAATATATATATGATATATATTATTAACATATTATAATAATGATACTTACAATTCCGAAGACTTTAAACTGTTTTCAGCATAGCAAATCATCTTCTGAAATGATGCTCCAAATGTATCTGGAAGTTTTTCTTTCATCTTGTTTTGGTATATGTTATCAAGGGTCATCATTAACATATTTATAGAAAGTGGTGAATCCATAGTTGTTGTATATGTCAACAATTAAATAATATTAAATAGTTATCACTATGGATATATGCATGCTGCATCAGACCACTTAACACTGAGGTAATAATACTGGGCATAACGCTTTTATATACTTGAAGGCGATTTAACTCACCCCTCCCCCTCCTCCTCTTCCTCCTCCTCCTCATCCTCCTACTCCTCAAGTCAGAATTGAAAAGATAGATATAAAAGAATTCAACTGTCAGTTACAACCCTAGTCCTGTGCTGTATCTAGTGAGTCCACTTTGATAATAATATAATATAATTATATTGACTTAGTTTGGGTAAGGTAGGGTCTTGTTTGGTCTTACTCTAATTATTTGTCCTGCATCACCTTATACTATCTTAGATAAAAATGTTGATTGATCAGTTAAGTTACATATGCCTTAACATATTTTTTTTTTTTTTTTTTTTACATTCACAGATTTGAAATAGATCACCATTATGACTGATATTAACGAGACAACAGCAAATTTTGAAAATGATAAGACTCTGAGTGAACCCAACCCTACAGGCAAAGCAATGAACCCCAACGAAATATGGGAAGCTGAATCTGTAAAGACTGAACCCAACCCTACTAACCCCAATGAAATATGGGAAAAATTGAATCTGTAAAGATTATGTTAATAAAACTTGAAGAAATACTACTAAAGTGGGGAATAAAATATGAATTATTCATGAGACAAAACAATGGAGTCAAGCTTGAAAATACCTATCAAGTGATTTTGATGTCGAAGGCCTCATCACAGGAAAAAATTGAAATAGACCATATTAAAGTAGTATTTCAAGATGATGGATTGGTTTTGTTTAATGGGTGTGATAACAACTTACACAAATATGTTGTGTGTGAGTATACCCTCATCCAATTAACTATCCGTAGTTTTTTTAAATATGAAGAAAAATTACCCACTACTTTGTACATACGAATTTTTAAAGATGAATGGGCATCCAGCCCAGCGTGGGATAATCCAAAACCTCCGTATCTAGAAGTCTTCCACCTTGACAACTTGTACTGACACTCACCGGAACTAGTGCCAGCCATACTGACATTATCATCTTACTTTTTAATTATACTACATCTGTTCCCATTCTGGGCTCACTTTTTATTTAGTGAAAAATTACAGTGAAATTAAAAGGTGCCCCCATTCCCCTACCTATGTACACTAGAATAATAAAGGCAAAATTAAAAAAAAATAAAGCAATATATTTTATAATTCATACACACTTTTATTTAGTGAAAATTACAGTGGAATTAAAAATGAAATGAGGCAGCCTTCAACTGTTCGAAATTTTTTTTTTTTTTTAAATCAGCAATCTCCTGCCAGAGGTTTGTATTCTTCTTCTTCAGGTCGGTGATGTACCCACGTTAGTCACTGTGCGGAAGTTTTGAATAACATTGGCTCTTTGGTCCCATTATAAATTAATATGACTTCCAAGTGGTTGCACATATCAATTCCTCAAAAGAAAGGCGGGTTGTTTCAGCCTTCCAACTCTTTAATTTCATTTTTTAAATCATCAATCTCCTGCTTGAGGTCGGTGTAGTTCTGCTTCAGGTAAGTGATTATTTTTAATAACTCTTGCTCTATCATCTTCAATAGTGTGTTGTTCTGATTGATGTCGGTGTTGTTCTGCTTGATGTTGGTGATTATTTTGCTGATTAATTGTAACAACTCTTGGTCTGTCTTCAAAAGTATTGTCTCATTCTGCTTGATGATGTCGATATTATTCTGCTTGAGGTTGGTGTTGTTCAGCTTGATGTCGTGGATTATTTGTAACAACTCTTTCTCTATATTCAATATTAGTGTCTCCTCTTCCTCTTCCCAGCATAGTTTCAAGTTTTTTTTCAGCGTATCTTTCTCCATCCTGGGGTTCATCTGAGGAGAGAGCATCTCGGACAACTTTTTCTTTGGAAGAGCAGCGAAGCTGGCCATCAGTGGATGTAATATAAGAGTGAGAGTGGTCGGCGGCAACGAATATTTATATATATGGCTCAACTGACACAGTACTGCTCCGGGCAACCAGCTATTACATTACTAGGTGGACTTCGCCGCCATGAGTTTGATCACAAGGTTTTCAACACTTTATCTAAAATATCACTTTTAAAAATGTTGACTTCAACCTTCAACGGTCCAAAATTTTTTTATTAAATCAGTATTCTTCTGCTTGAGGTTGGTGGTGTTCATCGTTTTTTCTAATCAATATTCTTTGGATTGAGGTGTATTGATGTTCTCTCTGTGACATCAATAAGCATTGTTTCCATTTTTTTTCAGCGCAGCTTCTTTACCTTAACTTGTGGGCGACAGAAAGTTAATGAAATTGGGGAGTATGACTGCTACGGGATGCCCACTCACGGATGCGATCCCACTATTGCTCGACACCGGTGCTTTTGGCTGCTGGGTTGAAGAAGTTACGTAAAAAAGTGAATTTGAATTAAAAATTGCCCAAATACTAGAAAAAGGTTGGGGCCTGGGAGCCTTTTGGAAAAATTTGGGTTGGGGTAGGATAATAAAATAAATTAATTTGTGGAAATAATATAATATATTCAGTATCTCATTCTTTTACCTTTTTTTACCCCAATTATTTATTTAGAGTGACTAACAACTACTATTTTCTGATTGAACTGTCCATTCATGCTTATTTTGTAAAAGTATTTTCTTGGGGAAATAAGCCACCACAATGCAGCCAACAACATTCAGAAACCGGTTTCAAGGTTCTGTTATACAGGCATTCCTCATTTTTTTCTCCAGTCTGTGTGATTTTATCCATGATGGCTTCTATCTTCTTTAGTGTCTGTCACTTCGACATCTCTTTTTGGGAAGTTGCGGAGCTGTGTAGTAGCAAATAACAAAGACATTAATATATTCTCTACCGAATAAATTTTAACAGAGCATAGGAATTCACAGATAAAAAAAAAAAAAACTTTTAATCACAAAAAAATAAATAACGTACAACTGAAATTAATCCTCTTATTAGTAAAGTTAATTACAAATACATACCTGTGCCTGTTGTTGTTTCCTGACCGAAGACACGTTCCTCCACATTCTCCTGCTTCTCCCATTCCTCCCCTGACTTGGTGTCATCATCTCCATCTGAAGACCATGGCCATTTGATTTTTCTAGAATCAAGCTTCCTTAGTGCCTTTTCTTTCTTCTTCATCTTTCTCTTTATGGCCTTATTTAGTACCAAGCCCTTTAGTTTGTCAATCAACCGGTCACTTTCGAATGTGTCTGAGGACGACGATAAGGACGACGATGAGGACGACGATAAAGACGATAATGAGGAAGAAGATGAAGAAGATGACCTTGCTTTTACCGTTGATTCAACCAAACAAGACATTTGCTCAAGTAAGACAGATGCAGCTTGACCTCTTTCAGCTTGTTCTTTTGCTTCCCCAGAAGAGTTAGTAGTTATCTCGAAACCCTTCATCAGTTCGGAAACAAGGGGTGGGGGAGGATAGAGGGAGGAAAGAACGAATAACAATAAATTAAAATTACTATTATAATTGTATTTTACTGTAGTATAATGAATAAAAAATCAATCTCTAAATGTTAATTTACCTGAAAGAGACAAATAATTACAAGTCAATCGTTTTACACTATACTCTCTTTATATGTTTCCAAATGGCTTAGGAAGTGGTATATTCTGACTTGTTCCTTCAGCTTCGGCTGTACCTGATCATTGCACACATAAGTAGTTAATATAGGCACTATAACAATAAGAAATAGAGTGTGTGGTTTTTTTTATGATTTGATTCATAAACTGAACTGGTAAGGAATTGATTATTGAAGCTTGTTGTTATGTAATTCTTGATGGACTAGATGACTGCATATGGATCAATAGTTAAACTGTAATGACGCCCGCCACTACCCTACTGAATGATAAACTGCTTAATTTCAGTAGACTGTACACCTGACACTGGAGCTGGAGAGAGAGCAAGGGTTTGTGACTCTTAAATAGGCAGAAATTCTCCTTTTATACCACTATCCCATCCCCCTCCCTCCACCATAGGTTGCTGAATCAATACAAGTTATTTTCATTAATATTTTCTATATTTTTATTAATATAGGCCGATTACTAAATTCTAATTCTGATTATTTTGTTAGATCATAAACACATAATTTAATGGATAAGTAGTATATAATCAAAGGCTGAATGTTTTCTTAAAATCTTTCTATTCTCTTTCCCTCTTTTTTTGGAGTTGAGTTAATTTGCCTACTCCCCGACCTGCTACTCCTTTTTTTAATTTTTTTATTATTTCCCCCCCCCCCCCCCCAAAAAAAAAAGTCCTTTTTATCATCCTTCTTTTCGTCTAGCATTATTACATCCTCTTCTATTTCCTTTTCAACCTCCTTCTTTTCTTCTAGCACTATTGAACTAGTGTCATTTATTGGTTTAATATCCTCATTCTTTACCTTCAACTGATGAACTGGGGTCATTTATTGGATTAATATCAACTTCCTCTTCCAATTGCTTTCCATCTGTTCCTCTCCTATTCATGAACTGTTTTCCTCTTTGATTCTTTTTCAGAGTCAATATTTCATTTTTTCGTCTGTCTTGGGTATTTAATTTTGATCGTTGTTTGGCATCTTTTTGTTTTGTCCCCGAATCTGTTGTTTTATATGTTTTTGATGTTTTTGTTGTTTCCTGTGATGAAACTTTCTGAGAGGAAATTGTTTTTAAAATGATTTCATCGCCGATTACATTTAAATACTTCTTTATTATTTGTGTTTCAATAAACCATTTCTTTTCTTGTTCAATATCATCACTGTTCAATAATGTAAGTAATTTTAAATTGTTATCCTTGTTATCAATAGACACTATTTGGTTTTTGTAAATTTCATCGTCGTTAATGTTAATTTTTTCTCCAATCAATGTTAAACCCTTAATATTATATATAATGGGAAAAACAGAAGGGGTTTTAATAGCTTTCTTTATATTTTGGGAGTTTAATAAAGCTGTTTTCATAGTATCGATGTCATATAGGTTTTGTGAAAAATATAGGTTTAATTGAATAGAAGGCATAAGAATTTTATCGTTTATTACCGTAACAAGATTTTTATAGAACTGGGCGCAGAATATAAATTTAGAAATATGATTCGAAAGAGAATAGAATAATTGTTTCATTTCATTTTTGGCAACACTATTCCTACAAAATATTTCTTTTACTTTAATCTGATCGAATGCTAATAACAAATACTTTTTTCGGCACTTCTCTGATAGGTAAGCATCGAGTTCATTAATAATAGTTCTGATAATAGAAGTGAACTTTTCTACTAGAGTTTCATCATAGTCTGAAGAAACGTCAATTGTATTAATCATCGACAAATGTATTTTCGATTCTTTTAATTCAGAAGCCATGACTAACATTTTAGAATTCATTTCTTTATTTGTTTGTTTTAATATCGAATTTTCTGATTCCTGCATTTGTTGAATGGCTAATATTTTAGAAGTATCACCATATGATTTGTGAATCACTTGCAAGATAATTACATAAAAGTGTTTTATATTTCGTATGCTAAAATCTTTTTTAAGTTCGTTCTGATAAATTGTATATATAATTGTAATAAAAGTATATACCTTTATAACTTCATAATTTGTTTCTTTTGTATATTTGTATAAATCCGCAAGTTGTTCTATTATCTTTTCTTTAACTAAATCCATAGATGCAAGTTCATCTACTAACATTTTAGCCAAATAATTTGGTTCTTGTAACTGACGCTTTAAAACAACATTTAAATCAACATAAGGCATTAATTCTTTTTTGTGTTTTTCTACTATTTCATCAGTAATATTAGTTTTGAAACTATTTAGTATATGATTAAATAACCCTCTTTCTTCCTCGTTAGTAAATAATATATTTGCTATATTTTCAGGTTGTAGATCATTATTATTATAATTACTATTGTTAATAATGTCATTTAACTTAGCCATTCTATTTATATGTTCTTGTTGAATATAATTCTTGTGTTCTGTATTAAAATGATCAATAATCTTTATTATTATTTCTTCAATTAGTTTATTTTTTTCACTTGAATAACTATTATTTATAAACAATATATTTGAAAAACATTCAGTTATATCATCATTTGATAATATAGATTTTTTTAAAAAATTATTAAATAATGTATTATTAGAATTATTTATTGTGTTTATATTCGCCAATAATTCATTATATTTATTTAGCATTTGGTCCTGAAGTTGTTTATAAGTTTCTTCTGCTTGTTGATGTTTCTCAAGTTCTTTTGTTTTGAGTGATAATAACTCCTTATATTGCCGTTGATGGGCTTGTTTTTGTTCCTCAAGTTGTTTCATATAGGTTTTTTCTAGTTCATGTTTTTCGTAGTTACATTTCTCAAATTCATTTTTGTAAGTTTCTTCTAGTTGATGTTTTTCATTAATATGTCTATAACTTTGAGTTAATTCTTCATTTATTCTCTTTATTTCTTGTTTTTGTTCAGATAATTGTGTGGTACATAGTTGTAGGTTTTTATGGAGTTCAACGTTTTTAGATTTTATTTCAGTATTATTTGAATTAATTAGAATATTTAACTGTTTAATTTGATAATCTAATTCTGTTATTTGTTTGTCTTTTTCAGTTAGTTGTTTATCTTTTTCTATATTTCTATTATCTAATTCTTTTATTTGTTTGTCTTTTTCCTCAATTTTATCTTCACATTCATTTAATTGATCTAAAATAAATATTTGGGTTTTCAATTCTTCTTCATATTTATTGTTTTCAATTTCTAAATTGTTTATTATATTTTTTTGTTTTTCTATTTCAGTTGTAAACTTGTCAACTTGTTTATTTAAATCGAGTATTTCGCGTTCTTTTTCTGCTATCACAGTCTCTAGGAATTTTTTTTCCATATTACACTCATCATATTGTTTATTTAATAAAGCTATGGTTTCCTTTTGTTGATATTGACTTTTAATAAGAGGATATGTTTTAGTTATTAATTTTATGTATCGATCAGATAGATCGAATAAATGAAACAATTTATTTAGTAATATGATTGTTCTTGTTTCATCATCATCTTTAGCAGAAACATTGTTTAAATAAGTTTTTATATTTATACGTTCTCTTAAACCTGAGGTCCCATCCTCAGGGAAATGTACCATACTCAAGATTGTTTTAACAATTTCACTCATTTTTTATGGGGTGAGAAAAAAATACCTATTTTGAAGTCCAATGTTAATTCTATCTTATTGAAATGAAATGAAACGCACATTATTTTGAATAGGACATTCAATGTTTATTTTTCAGCATTCAAAATAATTATTTCTTGCATTGAATACAGGATACCATAATTTTACATTCTCTCGAATATTACGTTTCTGGACTCATAATCGGAAACTATATCAGGGAGGAGTCCTGATCTTCCTCCTGTTTCTTGTTCTTCTTCCGAGATTTCCACATTGATATTAAATTTAATGCTAGCAAAGGTTTCTGAGGAATTAATGTTCTTAGCCACCATTTTACATTCCACCTCATTATTACCATCTTGAAGTTCAAGTTTCATTACCACAAATGGTGGTAATGAATTTTCTTTAATTGGAAAATCATACTTAGAGAATCCCTGAATAAATATATCTTGACTTGCCGCATGCGTACATGATATCCACAATTTGTCCATGTCGAATTTTTTTCTTTTATTATGTGATTTGGTCCGTACTGCATTTATATGGTTTTGTAATTTAACATCTTGTATTTCACTTTGATCTGTATAAACATTAGGTTTCAAATCATTAATATTCCAAGGAAATATTAAAATAATTGGATTTTTGGTATAATATCCCTTGTCGTAATCAGAATTTTGCCATACATAATTTGTGTTATTTGAGACATTATTATTATCTAAATATCTGTGGATTTTATTGTAATTTAAAAGGAAGTTATTAAAAGGCTTAATGATTGTATTCTCACTTTCGATTCTATTCTTAGGATTATACGAAATTGGTGGTTTAGGAATAATTACGAGACCTTTATAGGTATTTATATCTCTGATAAACGGGGAGAATAATGATTCCAACTTTGAGATGATTATATTAGATTCTTCAGAGGACTCTGTTGTTGTTGTTGTTGCTGTTGTTGAACCGATGGTGGATGGTAATGTTGTTTCTTGAAGTACTTCAGAGGACGTTGTTGTTGTTGTTGTTGTTGTTGTTGGACTGATGGTGGTTTGTAATGTTTCAGATAATTTTGTTATTGTTGGACTGATGGTGGATTGTAATGTTGTTTCATGAATCGGATCATGTCTGATAGCCTTACTGACATTGATACGTTTTCCGCGTAAATAAATAATTATTATAACGACTATAATTAGGATTATAGCAACTAAAATTCTTATTAACCCCATTGCTACTTTTTTCTTTTTTTCCTATTGTTTTTTAGTCATAATAAATTCATAAAAAAAATTATTTTAACA